ATGAAAGAGCTTTGTTAAGATCAGGAGTACAACAAGGGTGCCCACTCTCATCACTTTTTTTCACAGTAGTATTGGAATTCTTAGCTAGAACAATCAGGCAAGAAAAAGACATAAAAAGTGTCAGAATTGGAAAGGAAGAAGTAAAAATGTCTGTTTGCAGAAGGCATGATTTTACATGAAGAAAATCTTCATTCCACCAAGAAATGTGAGATTTAATAAATGAATTCAGTAAAGTTGAAGGATATAAAATTAACCTACAAAACACAGTAGTATCATTTCTATACACTAACAATAGACATGAAGTGAGGTGAGCGATGTAGGTATTGTGACATAGCATTATGCTACTATTGACCTTCTGTCAGTGCTTCAGAAAGAGGGTTATCTGCTTAGAATAATGCTTGATCATCAAGCCATGACAATGTCGATGGTTGGATGGCAAGAGCTGATAATATCAATGGTTAGGGATCCTCAATAGTTGAAATTTTTTCTGCTGAATGCTTTTGGAAGAGCATTGTAACTGGAAATTTCTTTGTCTTTTAAACGCATCAAAATATTGTTGCAGTTTGTAATCCTTTGGTGATTATACAGGTGACTTGAATGCTGCATTCCATCTGATGGTCTTATTCCATAATTTTTATAAAATAAGGGTTATTGGAACACAAGCGCTGTGAACCACAACAGTCTATATTATAACCAAAACAGCTACTATGTGACGATCAGGCAGGTCACATACAGTGTGGATATGCTGGAAAAACAGGTGAGTCGAGTCCTGGACCCAACTGAGCAGGATACTATGAGATTTCATCATGTAACACAGAACACACACAATTTAAAATAATAAATTGCTTATCTCTAGAATTTTTCATTTAATATTTTGGGCTGTGGTTGATCATTTTTAACTGAAACCATGGAAAACAAAGCTGCACATAAGGGGGAATTATTGTACAGTAAAGATGTGAAGAGAGTAAATCTTGGGTTCTAATCACAAGATTTTTTTTCTCTTTACTCTTTTCATCTTTATTTTCTTTTTAATGTACCTGTATGAGAAGGTGGATAATAGCTGAACCCATTGTGGTAATATTTCACAATATATGTGAATCAAATCATCATGCCATAAAGTTTAGTTTTTTTTATTGCTCTTGTTTCATTTAATTGTGTTTTAAAAGTCTACTATTTTTCAAATAAGTCAGACAGAGACAGACAAATACCATAAGATTTCACTTATATGGGGGATCTAAAAAACAAACAAAACAGAAAATCTCATAAAGAGAACATTTTGATGGTTGCCACATATGAGGGAATGTGGGGTGGGCAAAAATGGTGAAGGGATTAAGCAGTACAAATTGGTTGTTACACAAGTCATAGGGATGTAGGGTATAGCATAAGGAATATAGTCAATAACATTGTAATAACTATGTATGGTATCAAGGGGGTACTAGATTATTGGGGGATCACTTCATAAATTACATAAATGTGTAACCACTATGCTATATACCTGAAACTAATACAGTATTGAATGTCAGCTGTAATTGAAAAAAATAAAAATAACTAACTAAATAAATAAATATCTATTTTTTCTGCCATTCCCATTTTTTTGGTAAGGGAAAAAAATTTTAATTACCTTTCTTTTACTCCTACATAGTAACACTTACACTATTGTCACTTGCAACAAATATTTCTATTAAAATACAGACAGTTATGATTGGAAGATGAATCAACAAAAAAACCTAATTATTAGTTATATTTCAATCTCTGCAATGGTGATATAGTTTAATATTGTTTCATGTTTTATCATTCATAGAGATATTATTTTTATCATGGGAAATGTAAAGAACTTATATGAGAATAACGAAATGAATGAAGGAATTGTAAAACTAGGGCAGAGAAATCGAGAAGATAAGTTTGGGAATTGATGAACATTGTGACCAACTTATGGTTTCAACCATAAGTTGAAAATGTAGTAATTCTTCAGAATATTAATGACAAATATCATTAAATACCTATTTTAATGGGATTATGATTTTATTTATTTTTTCATTATAACAAAAATGACATAGTGAGGGCATAAGGAAAAGTATGCAATG